TTAATTTAAAAGAGATAAACATCATTTATTTAAAAGTATAATATTAAAAAAACAGTTAATATATAATTTTCTGTTCTTTAAAATAACTATAAAAAACTTTTATTAACAATGAGATTACTTATATACATAAACTATTAAAATTAATACAATGATTTTAAAAACAATTAATTAGAGTTATACAATAACTCTTTTAAACATAAATTTTAAATTGTTAATAATCACAAAAATAAGAATAGTTAAAATTGCGTATAAATAATTTTAAGATTTTTAGTTTCACTCTTAAAAAAATGATTTTTATTAATAGTTTTTTATGAACAATAAAGAAACTGAAGAGATCAGAAATAAACTAAAAGATTATAAACCACTCTTACCAGACACAATTATGAATTATTTTTTAGAGAAGAATGGTGTAAAGACGAATAATAAAGAAGTTAAGAACTTAATCAATGCTATGTCACATAAGTTTCTAACAGACGTAGCTGTGAATGCTAAACAATTTAATAAGATAAGAAGAAAAGCTAGTGGGAAAGATATTAGATTTTTAACTGAAAAGAAAACAACATTAACAATTGAAGACTTAGAAAAAGCTCTTAAAGAGATGGGAATTAATGTAAGTAGACCTCACTATTTTTCATGAATAAAATTTTAGATTTTGTATGTTTTAATAAACAAACCTAACAAATTTAATAAAAATTTTAAATTAAATTATGAGTGGTGGTGCACAAAAAGAAAATTATGAGAACCAAGAATCACTAGCATTCACTTCTATAGAAGATTTAAAAAATACAGGTATCAGTGCGTCTGATATAAACAAACTTACTGAAGCTGGATATAACACAGTACAATCGTTGGCATTTGCTCCTAGAAAAGAGTTGTTGAATATTAAAGGATTTTCAGATGCAAAGGTAGATAAGTTAATGAAGGAAGCTGCTAAATTGGTCCCATTAGGATTTACAAGTGCAACAGATTACCATAGCAAAAGAATGGAAACAGTTTACATTTCTACAGGATCTGGTGAATTAGACAAACTTTTAAATGGTGGAATTGAATCAAGTTCTATTACAGAGATATTTGGAGAATTAGAACAGGAAAGACTCAGTTATGTCACACTCTTGCTGTTACATGCCAACTACCAAAAGAGTCAGGTGGTGGAGCAGGTAGATGTATTTATATTGATACAGAAGGTACTTTTAGAACAGAAAGATTACATCCAATAGCTGAAAGGCTAGGTTTAGATATAAATGAAGTCTTAGATAATATTTCATATGCCAGAGCTTTTAATACTGATCACCAAAACAGTTTATTAATACATGCTTCAGCTATGATGACAGAAAACAAATATTCATTGATAATTGTTGATTCAGCCACTTCCTTGTATCGTACTGATTATAATGGAAGAGGTGAATTAAGTGCTAGACAGATTCATTTAGCAAGATTTCTTAGGTCATTACTTAATTTAGCAGATACTTATGGTGTTGCAGTGGTAATAACTAACCAGGTAGTAGCAACAGTAGATGGGGCAGCAGCTATGTTTGGAGCAGATCCAAAGAAGCCAATAGGTGGTCATATTATTGCCCATGCATCAACAACACGACTTTATCTCCGTAAAGGAAGGGGTGAGACTAGAATTTGTAAAATTTATGATTCACCATCATTACCCGAATCGGAAGCCATGTTCTCAATAGCTGAAAAGGGAATTTGTGATGCCGATGAGTAATAAAATATTAAATTAAGAACTTTATTAAAGTAAAACAGCGTTTACATCCATCATTTTCTGGATTGTTTGATATTTGTGCATACTTACCCCAAATAATCATTCCATCTCCATTAACCATTCC